ACTACCATGTGCAATTCCATGTCTAGTCCAGAGATTGACCAGCATTGTCCACAGCAGCATCATGTTGCAAGGGCACGTAGAAGGGAACAATGGTGGAAAAGCAATGTTAATGAAAGAACAGAATTATCAGAATGCCAGAGATATGCTTGAACAGTATGAGAAACTGAGAAAAATAGAAGTTGAACTTGAAAAAGTTGATGAAGGCTGGAAACCTGATCAAATAGTTAGAGGGGGAAATTGTTAAAAATAGGTTAAAAACAGTTGTAATATAGTTGCTAGATCAATAAGCATGTACTGTTATTTTGGTTATTATAGTGTAAAAGGGGTTACAAAGGTAGTTATAAGAAATACAGTACTCAATGTACCATAGCACACCTAAGTAAAGTGCAGCATACCCCAAGCGAAATGAGCGAGCCAGGACAGAACTGTAATGGGCAAATCAAGCGCCTTAATCCTTCATACAAATGAAGGATCCAAAAAGAAACCAATGCAAAGGGACAAAAATGCAGGATAAAAAGGAGTTTCTGACCCAGTGATTTTGCGCTGCTCCATCTGGGACATCGGGGGCATCACTGCTGAAGAAGACCCAGTGCTGGCGCTGCAGCATCCTCGACAGGAACGCTCCTGCTTGGCCCATGGGCCGCGACGTTTAGGCGTTTCATTTGCTTATAATAAATGCTGAAATCAGTTTAGTACCAGGAGCCTGTTCTCGTATTTAACAACACAAAAATCTGGATTTCTGGAGCACACGAAGCTCACGATTACGGGGACACACGAAATTCAGGATACCTGGGGCACATGAAGTGCTGGATTCCAGGGTAACCTGAACGGATCAGTTCCTGGTCAGGATTCCTAGTGCACACGAGCAGACGGTGATTGGCCCCTGAGGGCTGAGCTCCAGCGGTGACAGTGAATTCTCCCGGCAGTAAGCGACATCCTGGCAGTCCTCCTCCGATGCCAAAGAGCAAGAGAGAGAGAGGCTGTCCCCAACCCCTGCCCCCCATTCTCCTGGGATGTCTGTCCCCCCCGGAGAGAAACTCCTAAAAACGAGAGGAGTTCCCCCTCTGCACCTTCTCAAGCACTCAGCCAGCAGTGCTCTTAAAAACTCAATGGGAAAAAAATCCACAAGTGATAAGGAAAGAACAGGAAAACCCCAACCCCCAGCAAATTGGTGCTGGCTGTGGTTTTTGGGGGTTCCAGCGACACCCAGGGTAGGGTCAGTGCTCAGCAGCAGAGGCCCCCTGGCCCCCCATACCACATCCTGGTGTGAAAGACAAAGTTCACTCTTTGAAAATTGTAAAAGATTAATAAGTGGTAGAAAAGGATTTTGGCAGACAGCCAAACAAGTTTCTTTAACTTAACCCATTGTTCTCCAGATCCAGATCCACTGCAGGGCTACAAACACATTCCTGTGTTTAGACATTCTTCAAATATTCCTGGGAGGTTTGATGGTGGAAGAAATTGGTCTTCTTTGTGGAGTGTGCACTAAGAAGTGTAATATTACTACCATGTGCAATTCCATGTCTAGTCCAGAGATTGACCAGCATTGTCCACAGCAGCATCATGTTGCAAGGGCACGTAGAAGGGAACAATGGTGGAAAAGCAATGTTAATGAAAGAACAGAATTATCAGAATGCCAGAGATATGCTTGAACAGTATGAGAAACTGAGAAAAATAGAAGTTGAACTTGAAAAAGTTGATGAAGGCTGGAAACCTGATCAAATAGTTAGAGGGGGAAATTGTTAAAAATAGGTTAAAAACAGTTGTAATATAGTTGCTAGATCAATAAGCATGTACTGTTATTTTGGTTATTATAGTGTAAAAGGGGTTACAAAGGTAGTTATAAGAAATACAGTACTCAATGTACCATAGCACACCTAAGTAAAGTGCAGCATACCCCAAGCGAAATGAGCGAGCCAGGACAGAACTGTAATGGGCAAATCAAGCGCCTTAATCCTTCATACAAATGAAGGATCCAAAAAGAAACCAATGCAAAGGGACAAAAATGCAGGATAAAAAGGAGTTTCTGACCCAGTGATTTTGCGCTGCTCCATCTGGGACATCGGGGGCATCACTGCTGAAGAAGACCCAGTGCTGGCGCTGCAGCATCCTCGACAGGAACGCTCCTGCTTGGCCCATGGGCCGCGATGTTTAGGCGTTTCATTTGCTTATAATAAATGCTGAAATCACTTTAGTACCAGGAGCCTGTTCTCGTATTTAACAACACAAAAATCTGGATTTCTGGAGCACACGAAGCTCACGATTACGGGGACACACGAAATTCAGGATACCTGGGGCACATGAAGTGCTGGTTTAGTACCAGGAGCCTGTTCTCGTATTTAACAACACAAAAATCTGGATTTCTGGAGCACACGAAGCTCACGATTACGGGGACACACGAAATTCAGGATACCTGGGGCACATGAAGTGCTGGATTCCAGGGTAACCTGAACGGATCAGTTCCTGGTCAGGATTCCTAGTGCACACGAGCAGACGGTGATTGGCCCCTGAGGGCTGAGCTCCAGCGGTGACAGTGAATTCTCCCGGCAGTAAGCGACATCCTGGCAGTCCTCCTCCGATGCCAAAGAGCAAGAGAGAGAGAGGCTGCCCCCAACCCCTGCAGGGTCATCAGGAAACACCTCGTGTGACCACTTCAGTGTGGTCTCGATGTCCTCGAGCTGGCACTTGATGTAACTGATAAACTCAGTGTCTCTGTCACACGTGTCCACCAAGCGCTCCAGCAGCCCCAGGGCCACCTCTGTCCAATGTCCCCTCCTGATGGTCGCTCTTGCCTGCCTCCCTGGTGGGCGCTGCCACCTGGGCATCGCGCGTGGCCCCTGTCAAGGCCTCCTCCTCCCTGTGCTGGGCCACCATCAGCTGCTGGGCTGTGGCCGCCAGGTTGTCCCCAGCTGTGTCCCTGTGGGTGGCCTCATCCGTCTGGTGCCTGGCCTGGGCAATGGCCACAGTGGTGGCCGTGTCCTCACAGGTGTCACAGAGCCCGATGGCCTCCTGAAGCAGCCATTCCCAGGTCTCCATGAGCGCAATAACCAACTCCTGCCAGGCGCTGGCCATGGCTCTCACATCAGCCCAGGTGGCCCCCGGGGTGGCCCTGAGGGTGGCCAGGGCCTGACCCAGGGAGGTGACACCAGGGTGGCCCAGGGAGGTGACATTGCCATGGTCCAGGGTCTCACAGAGTCTCCAGGAGAATCTTCCCAGGGTCCGGGCAGGAACACTGGGGACACGGGCTGCCACTCCCCGTGCTGTGACCCGGTTATGGTAGCCGCCACCTTGCCCAGGGTGGCCACCATGGCGACCTGCCACTCCAGCAGGGACAGGAACAGCTGGGGAGGGGACAAGGGAGGTGTTAGGGACCTGCTGGCACTTGTGGCCTCCTGCAGTGGCCCCTGTGCTCTCCCAGGGTCCCTTTTGCCCCTTCCTGGAGTCCTCTGCTGTCCCTTCTGTCCCTTTGTCACCCCCTCCTTCCCTCTGCCACCCCCTGCCAGCCCCCTGCTGTCCCCTCTGCCACCCTCAGTTCCCTCCACCCCTCTGTCACCTCCCCGCTTCCTGCCACACCCTCCTGACCCTTCTGTCACCCCTGTGACCCTCCACGCCAGGATTGTCGCACCTCGTGGGGCTCCATGGCCACTGGAGACACCCTGGGGATACTCTAGGGACACTCTGGGGACACTCTGGGGACACTCTGTGTGACAAACACGCCCAGGTGACAGTTGGGGACACACAGGAATGTGGCGCGGCCGGATGGGGGAAGCAGGAAGAGGTGACGTCACTGTCCCCTCTGTCCTCCTGACTGTGGGGCCAGGACGGGATCCCCAGTGTCCCCAATGTTCCCAACAGAACCTCGATGTCCCCTGAGTGTCCCCACATGGCCTTGGTGTTGCCCCAATGTCCCCCACAAGGCCCAAGTGTCCCCCAATGTCCAGCTGGGGACACCAGGGACACAGCGGGGTCCTGTTCGGGACCTTGGGGACACCCCCGTGTCCTTCTCTTGGGGACACTGGGGTCACCCTGACATCCCCTGTCCTGTTTTGGGTCACCACAATGTCCCTGATGTCCACACAGTGTCCCAAAGAGGACCCTGGTGTGTCCTCAGTGTCCACAACAGGACATTGGGGGACACTTGGACCTTGTTGGGGACAATGAGGGGACAACAGGGTCCCGCTGGGGACATTGCGGGGGAAATTGGGGGGCACCCTGCCCTGGTTCCAAGGGCGGGGAGACAGTGACGTCACCTCTTCCTGCTTCCTCCATCTGGCCACGCCACATTCCTGTTTGTCCCCAGCGGTGGCCCGGGCATGTTTGTCACCTGAAGTGTCCCCAGAGTGTCCCTGGAGAGTCCCCAGGGGCCATGGAGCCCCTCAAGGTGCGACAATCCCGGAGTGGTGGGGGGGGAGGGGACAGAGGGGACACGGGGGTGACAAAGGGGACACAGGGGCTGGTGAAAGGGGGCAGTGGGGGATGGAGGGGACATGGGGGTGGCAGGAGGGGACAGGAGATCGCAAAGGGACAGGAGGGCATAGGAGGAAGGGGGACGGTGACAGAGGGGTGGAGGGGAGGACAACAGGAGGTGGCAGGGGGTGGCAGAGGGGATGAGGGGTTGGGAAAGGGACAGAGGGGACACCAGAGCCCTCCAGGGAGGGGACAGAGGGGGCCCCTGGGGGGCATGGGGCCACCCCAGGAGGCCACAAGTGCCACCAGGTCCCTGACACCTCTTCTGTGTCCTCCCCAGCTGTCCCCAGCCCTGCTGGAGCCACAGGTCACCGTGGGGGCCACCCTGGGCGAGCTGCTGGCCATCATGGCCAGGTGGGATGAGGAGATGATACAGCCCATGTCTGCAGTGAGACTGAACTCGGACCTGGAGGACTTAACCAGGGAGGTCCGGGCCACCATAAAGTGCATTGATGACACCTGGTGGCCCGACATTGTCACCTCCGATGGTGATGATCCTGTCACCCCCCTGAGCCAGGCCCTGGCCGCCTACAAGAGCACCCCCGGGACCACCTGGGACCATGTGAAAATGGTGGCCAGGGAATGGCAGGGCTCGGTGGATGTGCTCGGGGAGAGGTGGGTCAAGCTGGCCAGAGCAGCCACCGAGATCCGCAACGCCTGGTCAGAGGTGGCCACTAAGGAGGCCGACAGGGTGATCACTGTCAACTCCTTGTCAAGCTACCTGCAGGACGAGGCTGCCTGTGAATGGACAGCTCAGGAAAACATGGTGGAGCTGGGTCTGGCCCTGGGCAGGGAGGAGGGGGCCGAGGTGGGGGCCAGGCATGAAGCCTGGGTGTGGAGAGACGCCAGGGTGGCTGCCAGTGAGGTAACCAGGGCCATCAAGGACAGACAGTGGGTGGAGGTGACCCTGGGGCTGCTGGAGCGCTTGGTGGCCGCAGGTAACGCCGCCACCACGTTCCCCTGGGAGCTGCAGCGCCTGCTCAGGGACATCAAGGCCGCCATGAAGGGGAAAAATGAGGCATCCCGAGATGTCCCCGAGGACTTGGTGGCCAAGGTGGCCGTGGCCGAGAGGCTGTGGGAGGCCAACGCCCTCCTGGCCAAGGATCACCTGCTGGGGACACTTCAAGACATCATCAAGTTTGATTTCGATGATGAACCCGCCAGCCCCAGTGCCTGTGGGGTGGCCGAGAGGTGCCAAAGAGCCATCGAGGACATCCCAAGGTTCCTTCGACTCCCAGAGTGTCCCCAGCACGTCCCCAAGGTGTCCCCAGTATATTATATTATATTATATTATATTTAAAGCGCTATACTGAAACTATACTAAAGAAATACAGAAAGGATACATCAGAAAGGTAGAAAAGAATGAATACTAAAAACCCGTGACAGAGCAGAGTCCGACACAGCTGGTTGTGATTGGCTATTAATTAAAAACAATTCACATGTTTGGATAAACAATTCTCCAAATCACATTCCAAAACAGCACAACATGGAGAAGGTGAAGCTTGCCAGCTTCCCAGGAGAAAAAATCCTGGAAAGGGATTTTTCATAAAATATCACAGGGACATGCTGTGGGGACAGTGATGTCACTGGAGAGACTTTTGGACACTCAAGTGCCTCCTGCTCCTCGTGTCACCAAGAGCCCCTCAAGTGTCACCAGTTCCTTGAGTGTCACCAGCACCTTGTGTCACCAAGAGGGCCTCAAGTGCCACCAGCTCCTCAAGTCACCAAGAGCTCCTCGAGTGTCACCAGCCTGGGACAGAAATGTGTCACCAAGAGCCCCTCAAGTGCCACCAGCTCCTCATCTTAGCAAGAGCCCCTCAAGTGCCACCAGCTCCCCAAGTGCCACCAGTTCCTCGAGTGCCACCTGCTCCTCGTGTCACCAAGAGCCCCTCAAGTGTCACCAGTTCCTTGAGTGTCACCAGCGCCTTGTGTCACCAAGAGCTCCTCGAGTGTCACCAGCCTGGGACAGAAATGGTGCCACTGGGTGGATGGTACTGCTATGTTCCTGGTGCGACCTGTGTGCTGTCCCCATGTACTCACCAGCCTGGGACAGAAATGGTGCCACTGGGTGGGTGGTACTGCCACGTCCCTGGTGCCACCTATGTGCTGTCCCGATGTCCCCACAGAGGGGACACAAGGGGTGGCAGAGGGGACAGGGAGTCGCAAAGAGACAGATGGGACCCCGCGAGGTCACAAGTGCCTCCAGGTCCCTGAAACCTCCCCTGTCCCCTGCCCAGCTGCCCCCCCCACAGCTGGAAATGGTGATGGACGTGGTGGCCATCGTGGGTGAGGTGGTGGCCACCGTGACCGGGCCATACAGGGGCAAGTGCCTGTGCAAGGCCCCAAATTCCCTGCATGAAGGTACCTGAGGAGATTCACCTGGAGGTTCCGTAGGACCCTGAACCATGGCAGTGTCACCTCCCTGGGCCAGCGTGGTGTCCCCTCCCCGGGCTGGGCCTTGGCCACCCTCGGGGCCACCCTGGGACCACCTGGGCTGATGTCAGAGCCGTGGCCAGCGCCTGGCAGGAGTCGGTGTCCAGGCTCATGGACAGATGGGCCCGGCTGGCCAGGGAGGCCACTGAGCTCCGTGCCACCTTCAGGGAGGTGGCCACTGCTGAGGCCACTGCTGCAGCCACCGCCCAGGCCAGGAACTGGCAGGGCACAGCTGCCTGCTTGGGGACAGCTCAGGAAAACACAGTGGCCACAGAACAGGAGCTGCCACTGGCCCTTGACAGGGAGGAGGGGCCTTGGCGATGGCTGCGCTTGAGGCCCGGGTAGTGACGGCCACCAACGAGGTGCTGGTGGCCACCGTGGCCATGGGAGAGGCCGTGGTGGTGAGGGGAGCACAGCCAGGGAGCTGCTTCACTGAGGTATAACCCCTTGGAAACCCTGGGTGGGATGCAAATACACCAAAGCAGATGGCAAAATTAAAATGATATCAAATCCTCGTGATGTGTGGGTTAAAACATGGGGTCTCTAAAGCTGTAAATTGGTCAAAGCTTTACCAAATGAGGCCAAATTATGATGAATCTCCCACTGATTTTTTTAAACAGGTGAGGACAAACTGCCATCACATACACTGACCTAGATCCTGAATCAGCTGATGGTAAAGCACACCTGGTTTTGTTTTTTGTGGATCAGCTTTCAAATGATATAAAAAGCAAAGATGAAGAGAGTTCAAGACAGAGATAAACTCCTGGAGGTTGCCTCGCAGGTGTTTTGAGACAGGGGCCCAACTGAAAGAGTTAATCCCAACCTAGGAGGAAAGCAGCTCATGAAAAGTCACCCAAGAAAGCTTCCTCTGTGGAGAAGGACCAGAGTGTATCCTGTAAGAAATGGAGGCATTGGAAAAAGGACTGTCCAGTGATGAAAGAAAAATCATCAGTCCCTATTGTAGCAGCAGTCCCCAGTGGGGAATAATGAGCATTGGCTCCATGATTGCAGCAGGCTGATCAATCGCTTTGTTATACCATATTTTACTACTAAGAAAAACCCATTGCCCTTGCCAGACAGTCACAACACACACGTGGATCCAATGGGTCAATCAAGCCAAACAACCATTGCCAGTAGCCAATTGTTTTGGTTTAAAAGCAAAACCGGTGAGAAACTCCAAGGCAGAAACACAATTTATTAGGAAAAGGGAAAAAACCCCAAAATATATGTAATAGTATAAAATGAAACCACTGACAGAGTCAGAATACAACCTGACACCCTGCTAGTTAGGGCGGTGGTAGCAGTCCAGATGAAATGGTCTTGCTGAAGTGGTGATCCCATAGAAAAGATCTGGTAGCTCTTGTCCTCTGGAAACCAGTGGGTAAGGGCTGCCTGTCCTGTCCCAAAGCCCAGATTATATCCAGGTGGGGATGCTGCGCTCCTCCCCCTGGGCGGAGCATCTCACAATGGGCTGATATCATTCTATGAGTTATGATTTGTCGGAACTCAGGACACTCCTCTGGCTGCCCTGGAGGACTCAAGACCCTGGCAGAGGACTCAGAGACCTTGGCATGGGGTCAAAAACACTGTGCCTTTGATTTTAGCCCATGGAAAAAGCTACCAACTTTGTATGAAGATGTACAAGCCACAAGAGTTTGAATAGAATGATATGAATTTGTCACAGGACGAAAATGCAGAATTTTGGGTTTTTAGAATGGGGCTTCAAGAGGCAAGATGGAGGAATCTGGGAGTGTTCTGCCTTTCTTCTTCTTCTTCTGGTCCTCCACCTTCTGCTGTGATTCTGCCAGCCCCTTTGTCCCCTCCCCCACCGTCATTCCCATCCCCCACTGCCCCCTACCCCCCCACTTTCTCCACCACCCCTCTGTCACCTCTCCCCTTCTTGCCACTCCCTCCTGTCCCCTTCATAACCCCCTGTCCCCTCCTGCCAGCCCCATGTCCCATCCATCCCCCATTGCTCCCTCCCCCACTGTGCCCCCTTCCCCACCAATGTCCCCTCTGTCCTCCTCTCCCCCTACCCGGTCGCACCTCTTGGAGCTCCACGCTCACTGGGGACACCTTGGGGATGGTCTGGGGACACTCCGGGGGTCGAAGGAGCCTTGGGATGTCCTCGATGGCTCTTTGGCACCGCTCATCCACCCCACAGGCACTGGGGCTGGCGGGACCACCAGTGAAATAGAATTTGATGATGTCCCCATGTGTGCCCAGCAGGTGATCCTTGGCCAGACGGATGTTGGCCTCCCACAGCCGCTCGGCCTCGGCCACCTTGGCCACCAAGTCCTCGGGGACATCGGAGGACTCCCCGTCTGTCTCCTCCAGGGTGATCTCGATGTCCTCAACCCTGTGCAGCAGCTCCCGGGGGAACGCTGTGGCTTTGTCACACGCGGCCACCAAGTGCTCCAGCAGCCCCAGGGACACTTCTGCCCACTGTCTCACCTTGGTGGCCGTTGTTGCCTTCCTGGCAGCCACCCTGGCCTGTCTGCTTACCCAGGCTTCATGCCCGGCCACCACCTCGGCCCTCTCCTCTCTGCTCAGGGCCTGACCCAGCTCCACCATGTTTTCCTGAGCTGTCCCATCACGGGCAGCCTTGTCCTGCATGTGCCTTTCCCAGGCGGTGGCAGTGGCTGCCATGTCGGCTGCCTCAGCGGCCACCCTCCTGCAGGCATTGCTGAGCTTGGTGGCTGCCCAGGCCAGCTCAGTCCAGCTCTCCTCAACTACAGCCACAGAGTGCAGCCACTCACTGGTCGCCATTGTTACATGGTCCCAGGGGGTCCATGGCGTGCTCTTGTAGGCAGCCAGGGCCCGGCTCAGGAAGGTGACAGGGTCATCATCATCGCAGATGACATTGCGGCGCCACCAGGTGTGATCAGTGTGGTGTAGGGTGGCCCGGAGCTCCTTGGTGAAGTTCACCAGGTCCCAGTACAGGCGCAATGCAGACACGGGCAGCATCTCCTCCATTGCCCTCTCCCCCCCAGTTCTCCTCCACCCCTCTGTCACCTCTCCACTTCCTGCCACTTCCTCCTGTCCCCTTTGCAAACCCCTCTCCCCTCCAGCCATCCCCCTCTCTCCCTCCCCAGCCCATTGCACCTCTTGGGGCTCCATGTTCACTGGGGACACCTTGGGGACAGCTTGGGGACGTGTCGGGAGTTGAACCAGCCTTGGGATGTCCTCGATGGCTCTCAGGCACCGCTCAGCCACCCCACAGGGACTGGGGCTGGCGGGACCACCAGTGAAATAGAACTCGATGTCATCAACTGTCCCCAGCAGGTGAGCCTTAACCAGGTGGGCGTTGGCCTCCCACAGCTGCTCAGCCTCAGCCACTTTGGCTACCAAGTCCTCGGGGACATTGGGGGACACCTCATTTGTCCCCTCCAGGGCAGCCTCGATGTCCCTGAGCCTGCGCAGCAGCTCCCGGGGAAAGGCGGTGGCTTCGTCACACTCGGCCACCAAGTGCTCCAGCAGCTCCAGGGCCTCTTCTACCTGCCGTGTCTCCTTGGTGGCCCTGGTTACCTCGCTGACAGCCACCATGGCGTCTCTCCTCACCCGGGCTTCATGCCCGGCCACCACCTCGACCCCCTCCTCCCTGCCCAAACCCTGACCCAGCTCCACCATGTTTTCCTGAGCTGTCCCACCACGAGCAGCCTCGTCCTGCAGCTCCCTGGCCCGGGTGGTGGCGGTGGCCACCCTGTCGGCCGCCTCAGTGGCCACCTCCCTGCAGATGTTGGAGAGTTCAGTGGCTTTCCTGGCCAGCTGGGCCCAGCTGTCCACAAGCGTGGCCACCGACCCCTGCCACTTGCTGGCCACCGTTGTCACGTGGTTCCGGGGAGTCCCTGGGGTGCTCTTGTAGGCAGCCAGGGCCTGGCTCAGGGAGGTGGGAGGGTCATCATCATTGGAGCGGATATTTTGGTGCCACCAGGTGCCATCAAGGTGGTACAGGGTGGCCCAGAGCCCCCTGGTGAAGTCCGCCAGGCCCCAGTGCAGGCTCTCTGCAGACCTCAGCAGCATCGTGTCCCGCCTGGGCAGGGTGGCCAGCAGGTCATCCAGGGTGACCACCACAGCAACCGGTGGCTGCAGCAGGACTGGGGACAGCTGTGGAGGGGACAGGGGAGGTGTCAGCCCCTCCCTTCATAGCCACTCCCATCCTCTGCCCTTCTGCTGTCCCCTCTGTTAGCCTTGCCAGGACACTCGTAGCCCCTGCCACCCCCCGCCAGTGCCTGTATCTCCAACTCCCCATGTCCCCCCATCCACCACTGCCCCCTACCCCCACTTTCCCAACCACCCCTCTGTCACCTCTCCCCTTCCTGCCACTCCTTCCTGTCCCTTTCACGATCCCCCGTCCCCTCCCACCACCCCTCGTGTCCCATCCATCCCCCCGTGCCCCCTCCCCTCCAGTGTCCTCTCTGACCCCCTCTCCCCCCACACCATTGCACCTCTTGGAGCTCCACGCTCACTGGGGACACATTGGGGATGCTCTGGGGACACTCTGGTGGTTGAAGGAGCCTTGGGATGTCCTCAATGGCTCTTTGGCACCACTCGGCCACCCCACAGGCACTGGGGCTGGCAGGACGACCACTGAACAAGAACTTGATGTCTTGAAGTGTCCCCAGCAGGTGTTCCTGGGCCAGGCGGGCGTTGGCGTCCCACAGCCGCTCGGCCACGGCCACCATGATCACCAAGGCCTCGGGGACATCGGGGGACACCTCATTTGTCCCCTCCAGGGCGGCCTCGATGTCCCTGAGGAGGCGCTGCAGCTCCCGGGGGAAGGCAGTGGCTTTGTCACACGTGGCCACCAAGCGCTCCAGCAGCCCCAGGGCCGTCTCCACGCGCTGTCTCACCTTGGTGGCCTTGGTCGCCTCACTGGCAGCCTCCCTGGCCTCTTCCCTTACCCAGGCTTCATGCTCAGTCACCACCTCGGCCCCCTCCTCCCTGCCTAGGGCCTGACCCTGCTCCACCATGTTTTCCTGCGCTGTCCCATAACGGGCAGCCTTGTCCTGCATGTGTCTTTTCCAGGCGGTGGCGTTGGCCTCCTTGTCAGCTGCCTTGGTGGCCACTGTCCTGCAGGCATTGCGGAGCTTGGTGGCTGCCCTGGCCAGCCGGGCCCATCTGTCCACGAGCGCGGCTACTGACCCCTGCCACTCGCTGGCCGCCGTTGTCACACAGTTCCGGGGGGTCCATGGGGTGCTCTTGTAGGCGGCCAGGGCCTGGCTCAGGGAGGTGGGAGGGTCATCATTATTGGAGGTGACATTGTGGTGCCACCAGGTGTCACCAGTGCGGTACAGGGTGTCCTGGAGGTCCTCGGTGAAGTCCACCAGGTCCCAGTACAGGCGCCCTGCAGACTGGTTCAGCAGCATCATCTCGTCCAGACTGGGCAGGGTGGCCAGTAGCTTGCCCAGGGTGGCCACCACGGTGACCTGTGGCTGCAGCATGGCCGGGGACAGCTGAGGAGGGGACAGGGGAGGTGTCATGGATCTGGTGGCACTTGTGGCCTCCTAGGGTGGCCTCTGTCCCCTCCCAGAGTCCCCTTTGCCCCCTCCCTGAAGGATTCTGCTGTCCCCTCTGTCCCTTTGTCATCCCCTCGTCCCCTCTGCCACCCCCCGTTGTTCCCCCCTGTCACCTCTTCCCATCCTGCTATTCCCTCCTGTCCTCTTCTCAACCCCCGTCCTCTGCCGACACCCACATGTCCCCTCCTTACCCCACCGTCCCCTCCTGCCATTGCCTTCCCCCGTCTGCTCTGTCACCCCACTGTCCCCTCTGTCCCCTCCCCCCCACCACTCTGGGATTGTCTCACCTCGAGGGGCTCCATGGTCGCTGGGGACACCCCGGGGACACTCTGGGGACACCCCGGGGATACTCTGGGGACACTCTGGGTGACAAACACGCCCAGGTCACAGCTGGGGACACGCAGGAACGTGGCACGGCTGGATGGAGGAAGCAGGAAGAGGTGACGCCACTGCTCCCCTTCCTGTGGGGACAGGGCAGGGTCCCCAATGTCCCCCTCTGTCCCCAATGGGACCCCAATGTTTTCTCAGAGTCCCCAACAAGGCCCAAGTGTCACCCAATGTCCTGTTGGGGACACACCTGTGTCCTGTTGGGGACACTGTGGGGACATAGGGAACATTGTGGTGGCCCAAAACGGGACAAGGGATGTTAGGGTGGCCCCAGTGTCCCCAAGAGAAGGACACGGGGGTGTCCCCAAGGTCCCCAACAGGACCTCGGTGTGTCCCTGGTGTCCCCAGCTGGACATTGGGGGACACTTGTGCCTTTTGGGGGACATGGGGGCAACACCAGGGCCATGTGGGGACACTCAGAGGACATTGGGGTTCTGTTGGGGACATTGGGGGGACATTGGGGACCCCGTCCTGCCCCCTTAGCCAGGAGGTCAGGGGGGACAATGACGTCACCTCTTCCTGCTTCCTCCATCCGGCCACGCCATGCTCTGCCATGTCCCCAACTGTCACCTGGGCATGTTTGTCACCTGGAGTGTCCCCAGAGTGTCCCCAGAGTGTCCCTAGAATGTCCCCAAGGTGCCCCCAGTGGCCATGCATCTTCGCGAGGTGTGACAATCCCAGCGTGGAGGGACACAGGAGGTGACAGAGGGGACAGGCGGGTGTGACAGGATGGGGAGAGGTGACAGAGGGGTGGAGGGAACCGAGGGTGGCAGAGGGGAGGGGGAAAAACGAGAGGTGGCAGGGGGTGGCAGAGGGGACGAGGGGGTGACAAAGGGACATAGGGGACAGCAGAGCCCTCCAGGGATGTGCAAAGGTGACCCCGGGAGGGCACAGGGGCCACTGCAGGAGGCCACAAGTGCCACCAGGTCCCTGCCACCTCCCCTGTCCCCTCCCCAGCTGTTCCTGTCCCTGCTGGAGTAGCAGATCACCATGCTGGCCACCCAGGGCGAGGTGACAGCCACCATAACCGGGTCACACCACGGACAGTGGCAGCGAGTGTCCCCAATGTTCCTGCCCGCACCCTGGGGAGCTTCACCTGGAGCCTCCGTGAGACCCTGGACCATGGCAATGTCACCTCCCTGGGCCAGGCCCTGGCCCCCCTCAGGGCCACCCCGGGGGCCACCTGGGCCAATGTGAGAGACGCAGCCAAGGCCTGGCAGGAGTTGGTGGCCGTGCTCAGGGAGAGCTGGGAATGGCTGCTTCAGGAGGCCATCGGTCTCCGTGACACCTGCAAGGACACGGCCACCACCGTGGCCATCACCCAGGCCAGGGACCAGCAGGATGAGGCCACCTGCAGGGGGACAGCTGGGGACAACGTGGCAGCCACAGTCCAGCAGCTGATGGTGGCCCTGGACAGGGATGAGGAGGCCTCGGCCAGGGCCACGCGCGATGCCCAGGGGGCAGCGCCCACCAGCGAGGACGTGGGAGAGGCCGTGGTGGCCACCAGCCAGGCAAGGGTGACCATCAGGAGGGGACATTGGACAGAGGTGGCCCTGGGGCCGCTGGAGCGCTTGGTGGATGAGTGTGACAGAGACATCGAGTTTATCAGTTACATCAAGTGCTGGCTCGAGGACATCAAGACCACCCTGAAGTGGGCACACGAGGCGTTCCCCGATGACCCTGAGCACTTGGTGGCCAAAGTGGCCAAGTTTGAGCAGCTGTGGGATGCCAGTGCCTGCCTGTTAACATGGCACCTGCTGGGGACACTTAGGGATATCAACGACCTCCTCTTGAGTCCCTGTCATGGCCGCGGTGACCCCAGTGGCCCTGGCAGCCGCGCAGTGGCCAAGTGGTGCCAAAGAGCCAGGGAGAACATCCCGAGGCTGCTGCAGGGACAGTGATATCACTGCTGTGATGTCTTCAGGGTGGTGACATCATCGGGGACATCGCTGCTGTCACCTGTACTCTCTCCCCTCCCCACAGGGGATTTGAGACAAATCTGGGGAATTTTCTGGGAATTTTCACTGATACTGCCCCAAATCCTGATGGGAATTCCTGGGGCGACATCACTGTGACACTCAGGGACACTCAGAAAAAATTAGGGACACTCAGCGGCATGCTGGGACAGTCTGGGGACACTCAGGGACATGTACAGACATTCAGGAAAAATCAGGGAGGACACTCATGGATGCTCAGGGAGGACACACAAGGAGGTCACTCAGGGATACACGGGGACAGTCAGGGACACTCAGGGACATGCAAGGACACTCAGGGACAGTCTGAGAACACTCAGGGTCAGGGGTCAGAACAAATCTGGGGAATTTTCTGGGAATTTTCACTGATACTGCCCCAAATCCTGATGGGAATTCCTGGGGCGACATCACTGGTGACACTCAGGGACACTCAGAAAAAATTAGGGACACTCAGCGGCATGCTGGGACAGTCTGGGGACACTCAGGGACATGTACAGACATTCAGGAAAAATCAGGGAGGACACTCATGGATGCTCAGGGAGGACACACAAGGAGGTCACTCAGGGATACACGGGGACAGTCAGGGACACTCAGGGACATGCAAGGACACTCAGGGACAGTCTGAGGACACTCAGGGTCAGGGGTCAGAAGTGAATGAGTCCCCTCAGCAGCTTCCAGCTTCCCCCTGTGCCTGCAACACAGCCGGGTCATAAATGACAATTTAGTAATTGGCTTCTGCAATTCTGCATTGGCTTTTGCAAAAAAATACTTCCAAAAGTATTTTGCTCTGGTGCTTGTTTGTTGATTATTGATAATTCCTTGTAGCTGCTTGCTGGTACAATAAAATCAATCAGTTTATCTGTGCACCGTGTAACTGATTTAAAGCTGGAGTAACAAAACGATATTATATTGTAGGCCTTAAAATATTAAAAATAGATATCTATATTTATATACTTATATTTATGTAAGTATATATTTATTCTTATATCTATTTCTTATAATTACCCTTACGTATTTACTGTATCTATAGTAAACAGATAAATAATAAATGTTAAAATGGAGACTATGCAATGTTAAAATGCTTTTGTGTCACTGACTCAGGTGTAAAACAATTCCCTTGTTTCTCACACCTGCGGGCCGGCCTCTCCAGGTGATGATAACAGTGACACAAACCTGAGAAGAATTTATGAATTGATCAGGGGGTGTGAAACAACAGGATGGAACCAGGAGAAGAAATCAAATATATTGACCCAATCTACAGAATGTCCAGCAGACAAGTCGGAGGTTAAAACCAAACAAGAGTTCCTGCAACATCCAAACCTCCCAGGAATGTCTGAAGAATGTCTCAACTCAGGAATTTGTTTGTAGCCCTGCAGTGGAACCAGATCTGGAGAACAATGGGTTAAGTTACGGGCGAGTTGTTTGGCTATCTGCCAAAATCCTTTTATATCCCTTATTAATCTTTTACAATGTTCAAAGACTGAACTTTGTTTTTCACACCCAACTGTGATTTGCGAGTGCCCCCGCTGCTGAGCACTGACCCCGCTGGAACCCCCAAAACCGCAGCCACCACTAACTTGCTGGGGGTTGGGTTTTTCCTGTTCTTTCCTTGTCACTTGTGGATTTGTTTTCTTTTGAATTGCTAAGAGGCACTGCTGGCTGAGTGCTTGAGAAGGTGGGGAGGGGGAACTCCTCTGGTTTTGGGAGTTTGTCTATGGGGGACAGAGAAACTGGGAGAATGGGGGTCAGCAATTGGGGGCAGCCTCTCTCTCTCTCAGGCTCTTTGGCATCAGAGGAGGACGGCCAGGCTGTCGCTTACTGCAGAAAGAATTCACCGGCAGGGCTGGAGCTCAGCCCTGAGAGACCAATCACCATCTGCTTGTGTGCCCCACAAATCCTGAACTTCGAGTGCCCTGGAAACCCTCAATTCCGTGTGCCCCGGGAATCCTGAATTTTGTGTTGTAAAACACGAGAGTGGACTCCTGATACTAAAAGTGATTACATTATTTATTATAAGAAAAAGAAAGGCCCGAAGCAAGGGGGCCTGCGGGCTGAGCCGGAGTGTTCCTGTTGAGGACTCTGCAGCACCAGCGCTGGGTCTTCTTCAGCAGTGATGTCCCTGATGTTGTAGATGGAGCAGCACAAATTCAGTGGGTCAGAAGCCCCTTTTGATCCTGTTTTTTCCATTTGGATTGGTTTCTTTTTGGATCCTTCATTTGCATGAAGGTTTAAGGTGCCTGCTTGGCCCATTACAGTTCTGTCCAGGCTGGCTCATTTCGCCCGGGGTGTGCTGCACTTGACTTAGGTGTGCTATGGTACGTTGACTATCGTATCTCTTATATCTACCCTTTTAACCCCTTTTACAATGTAATAACCAAAATAACAGTGCATGTTTAATGATCTATCAACTATTTTACAACAGTTACTAACCTAATTTTAACAACTTCCCCCTCTAACTATTTGATCAGGCTTCCAGCCTGCATCAACATTTTAAAGTTCAGCTTCTACTTTTCTCAGTTTCACATACTGTTCAAGCATATCTCTGGCATTCTGATCACTGTTCTTTCATTAACATTAATTTGTCTCCATTCTTCCCTTCCATGTTCCCTTGCAGCATGATGCTGCTGTGGACAAGGATGGTTGCTATCCAGACTAGACATGGAATTGCACATAGTAGTAATATTACACTTGTTAGTGCACACACCACGGAGAAGAACAATTTCTTCCACCATTTACCCTTCCAGGTGAACAAGTTGTCCCAGTGGTCAGTCTCCAAAAAAGGGGGTCCATTCCTGTGCTCCAACATAGGTTCGTTTTCTAATATTTATTTCTAATAATTACATGACTGTGGTAATCGATCTCTAGGCAGCATTCTGAAGCATTCAATTTCCCACAGATCCCTCCTTCCTCTACAAGGAGGTTGTCCACTGCCAATCACATTTGGCAAATTACTGATCATGTTTGTTGTTGCTGCTGGTTTAGAGATCGATGGTCAGAGTTTTTTGATTGGATATGATTTCAAGTACTGGTTGTAGACGGATTATTTCATTGA